AGGTTTTTTTTTTTTTTTTTTTTTTTCCCTTTTTCAGATATTTACGGTGTGTGGTTGAGATCGAACCATCCTTAGTAAAAGATTATAAACAAAATTGCAACTTTTTCACATTCCCTGATGGAACCTCTACCATTATGTGATCCTCAGATGAAACTTCGAAATATCTCTCTCTCCTGAAATTAACTTAAAAAGTTTAGTCCAAAATTTAACTTTCTGAAAGCACGCTTGAAAATTACCAACCTTTGCTCATTATTGGGAATTTTGTACTTTTAGAAACAGATCCAGTCTCCATTTGATTTAACTTGGAATGGTGCCTCTAAATCTATATGACAGTATCTAGGTGCTTTTTTCTCCCAACAAATCTGGTCTGTCCAATCAAATGTGGAGAAGTAAAGCCAATGAATTATCTTTTTGATAGTGGTGAAAGCAGTAAAATTTCAATGATGTTCCACCACCTGGCTGATTATGTTTTGTCTGCTTAAGTAGCCACTAAGTTGTTGGTGTATGGGCTCACTTTTCAAGTGGAAAGGGGATTCATGTTCTGCTGTCACAGTGCTAAGTATTCATTCATTAATTACATTGTTGAAATAAAGTTTCATTTCATTGGAAGCTACTTGAGATCCCACAATCATGGTCTATGGTAGGGACACAAAAACGATCTGTCCTTTAATAGTTAACTGCCTTTTATTGTTAAACTTTAACTTCTACGTGACTACAGAAAATATAGAAAGAGAATCATTTCATTTCCAGATTCTAATGAAAAAGTCATTTCTATTCTATTTCAGTGTTTTAGAATATTCTCAAGCAAATACATATACATTAAAGCTTTGGCTTTGTTCCTTGCCCATTTTGGAGGTCATGTCACCTTCCACATTACATTTTAAATATCTCTTGGAATCCTTTTTTTGGCCTAACTCTCTAACTTTTAGTCATAACTCCATATGGCCACAATTGAAAGTATGTTAGATTCTGTAGATTTATGGCATGTGGACATTGAATATATGCAGTTTAGATAAGTTTGTACGTTTGAATCGAATGTTTGTCATTTTCGTGAAGCTAACACTTGAATAGATAAACTTCTATGCAAATATGTCTATGTTGATATTCATCTTGTTAGATTCTATTATGTTCTTTTTCATACAGGTGTTTTGCTAGGATATACTAAAGACGTGCTTTTCTTCAAATCATTGGCCAAGCAGTGGGTACAAAAGTGTAGAGAGTACTTCAGAATTTTCACTATTTGCAGAAGCCATAAATTCATTAATTGAATTAGTTTGATATTTCTCTTCTTCCAGTCAAGTATGCCGCAAATGGCAGCATACTTTCTTAGCATTGCATAATGGATCAAAGGGGTCGGGCCATAGATGGAGTAGATTGAAGCTTTTTCGTTATAATTAGAACATAAAGAGCTTTGGACATTGCTATTTTCTTCTTCTCTCTTGTGAAATTCAACTTGAATAGCATTGATCTTTGTGCAGTTGGTTTTGATGATTTTTAAGCAGCCCATTTGTAGCCATGAAGAGCCACTTTAATTTGAAACTATTTAAAGACGATAAAACTATGTGGTGGCTTAAAAGAATGCAACTGATATGCTTTTCAAGTATTCAGCCTCAACTTCTTGAGAAAATTGCCACTTTCAAGTATTCTATTACCCATCTCTCCCTTTCCTTTTGAAAGTTTGGTTACCAACCTTCTCTTTTAGAAAAGTAGTTGGTACATTCTTGTCCTCTAATTTCTCCCTAGAAGCTTCATTTTAAATGTAATTAATCACCCCTTAGAGTAACTTTTTACGTGCTTCTAAAAATTATTTTTAAGAACGTAAAATCTCATTACAAGCAAATTTTAAAGAGTGATTCTATCACATTTTAGTAAAATAATAAAGTAAAATCTTTATAATTTCCTTTCAAAATGTTACTAGACGGCGTTTAAAACATCTTGTTCAGGTGTTATTTTGTGGGTCACACCTGAATCGTGAAGAAAAACGAGAGGTGAAAGCATAAAGCCAAAAGAAAAAGCATCTTATTCATAGACGTTTATATAAAGACAAGGGGCGGAGTTGCAATCTTTCGTAGTATAGTAATAAAATAACTGTGATTTTGATGAGTATCACTTTTGAAACCCCAATTTCCTTTACTCCAAAGCCAACCCTCCAAGAAAAAACAGTAACTTGAATTTGTTCAGGTGTGACCCACAAAACAAAATCCCATTGTTCATTCATCTTTGTTCCCAATATGTGCATAAAAGCTACACAACAGAAAATTAACCCATTTCTATTTCCTTTTCTCTCTCTCCAAGCCAGTGATGAACTTTCAAAGCCAACCCCTTGTAACTATTCTTCACTTTCTTCTATTTGGATGGATTTGTTTTCCTTTGCTTGGAGGATTGAAGGAAAAAACAATGGAAACTAAAGTAGAAACTGATATAAACAGACAAGCAACAGGCTAGAATTGAAGCCAAGTGGCAGCAAAAGGCCAAAAGCAAGTCTCTTTCTTTAAGCTAACTATATACTGACATTATTAATTACTCACTATGTTCTTTATTCAATGCCAAGCCGGCCACCTCCTTAACAACAGCCGGTTTTTGTACCCTCCATCTCTGGCTATCTATTTGCTTGATTATTACGCTTGCTGCAATTCGACTCAGAGGCAGTTGAAGTATAAACCGTTTTTACTTCGACGTCTTACTATTTGCTTCGTTGTTACGTTTATATCTTATTCGACAGCAATTGAAACATAGTTCACTAGACAAAATACGTATAGCTCATCCAATGAATTTTGGATTAAAGCAAAAATGGTAACATATTTAGGAGAGAGAGAGAGAGAGAGATAGGAGATGGCCACTTGGCATCCCAAAAGGCAGGGTGCTTTCCATGTTCAATCTTGTGATATTGTGATTTCAAGGTACCTAAGAAACATTATTATTCAGCCCACAGATACACAAAAAAAGTGGTTCACAACAAGTAAATGTATAAATCAAACTCCATGCCTTCACATTCCTATCATTCTACAGTTATCACACTGTTTTCTCCCATGCTATTTGTGTCTGTGATTCCACAAGTTTTTATGAACACCAAGAAATAATTAAGTATTTGATTAGCATTTAACCTTAAGAGAAAATTGTCTCGTAGTTGTAAATCAATGCACCAGCGATCCAAGATTCATTCCAGCAGTATCGTACTGTGAGGAAAGTGAGATGGATCATCTGCAGTAAGAACATTAAAGTTTAAGAACACAAGTATGAAATATTTAATAGATTACTCAACTTACAAGCATACAATTTGGTTTGGTTCAGTGAAGATATGTAATGATCATTGGTTGAATTGTGTACTGTGAAACAGTATTGAACTGCTCCATTAGAGATGGGGATAGTAAAGAAAGAAAAGAGACAAAGAGAGAGAGAGAGAGAGATAAGTCGAAATGATGAAAAAGAGGCCCACGGAGAGAGAAAGAGAGATGCAATTCGTTTATATGAAGACAAAGGAAGGAATTGTTAGGGAAGACAGTTAGTTTAGGAGGTTCCTGAGGCATCGGGATAGTCAGCAGTAAGCAGGAGAGATGTTGAGCCATTGGATTTGTGGGTCGGTTGAGTTGGTGCACGTGCTCCTTGCTTTCTTCTTATTTACCCCTCTCTTTATCTTTGCTTTCATGCATGGATTTCTCCTCCCAACATAGCCCACAGAGAGGGAGAGAGGGAGAGAGAGAGAGAGAGAGAGAGAGACAGAGCCTAAGCCTAAGCTTAGAGCTCCCCTTTCAATTTTTCCACCATGCTTTGTTCATCTCCATCATTGGCAATAAAGTGGCACCTCCGCAAACTTCTAACATTTTTCTTTCTTTTCTTTTGCCTTTAATACTCCTCTCCCTTAAAACTTTCAACTGCCCGAGAGAAGCTAGTGGTGAGAGAAAAAAGCTAGTTGAACTACATTAACCAAGCTTCCCTTTTTCCACCTTTTGTGCATCAGATCCTGTTCTTTCTCCATGACTAGAATTCATCAAATCTGAGATGGGATTTCTGTCATCAGATCACAAAAGGAAAAAAGAAAGCAAAGATCAAGCTTGCTGTGCTGTGCTGTGATGGAGTTTACTACTTTACTCACTAAATTTGAGCTCTCCACTTCAATTGTTTGATCTGGGTCATCTTCTCTTTGTTTTTTCTTTCTGTTTCTGAGCTTTGGCTTTAGCATTGTTACAGCTGCTTTGGCTGGATTTTGGATCTCTGCTGCTGCTGCTTCTTCTTCCTTGAATTCTATTTCTTCTCGATGGGGGCTGATCGAGAGTTCAAACACTTCTGCAAGCTATGCAACAGAAGCTTTCCTTGTGGGAGATCTTTAGGAGGTCACATGAGGTCCCATTTGTTCAACAGTCAAGCTGAAGCTGGCGAAAATCTGAAGAAGATAAATTTGAAAAAAGCTGGAAGAAGAAACTCTGACATGGATAAGTTTCTGGGAGCTGGCGTTTCTGATGGTTATAGTCTTAGAAAGAACCCCAAAAAAACTAGCAGGCTTGCTGAATTCAGTGCTGAGGACAGGTTTTGCAGAGAATGTGGTAGAAGCTTTCAGTCCTGGAAGGCTCTGTTTGGCCACATGAAATGTCACTCCACAGAAACTGAGAGAGTGTCTAGTAATTTGGAGTTTGATAGCCAATCAGACAAAGAAATTGCAGCTGCTAATCGTGGGAAGAGATCTAGGAGGAGACAAACAAGGTACATGGCTGCTGAAACTTCATCTTCCTTTTCATTTGCTAATGCCACTGCTGCTGCTGCTGCTGCTGCTTCTTCATCTGTTTCTGATCATAATGATCAAGAACAAGAAGAGGTTGCTTTGTGTTTAATGATGCTTTCTAAAGATGTTGGTGGTTTTCATTCAACCACCGAGTCTTCTGACAACAACTGTATGCCTAAACAAGCTCCCCCTCTGGTCCCAAAAACTCACTTCTCCAAAGCTGTTGAAGCTATTCCTACCATATGCATGGGGAATGAGATGGTGAGATTGACAGAACTCCATAGCAGAAAGTTGGAGCTCAGTGATATGGAATCTGGGTATCTCAAATTTGAAGGATCAAACACAGAATTCAGTGATTCCGCTGTTAAGATGAACAAGAACAACGAGAAATCCCAGCATGATGACAGATTTGGATCAAGTTCCAACAACCAAACTTACTTTAACCAACCACAGTTCATTTCCAGTAAGTTCAATTCAGATCAGAGAAAATTCCATGAGCTATCTAATGGGGAATTGAGGTCAAATTCCCTAAGAAGATCAACACCCAATGAACTAAACTCAGAAGCATATGAAAGCAAAGGAAAGAGAAGCAAATTCCAGTGTAGTTCATGCCCCAAGATCTTTCACTCATATCAAGCACTTGGTGGGCATAAAGCCAGCCACAAGAGAACCAAAGGATGCTTGGCTTCAAAGACGGAAAACAGTGAAAATAGCAACGAAACAGAGATATCGAACGACCCAACATTCGAAAGTAAGTCCACAGCCACAGTCATAGAGATGGAAAATCAGCAGGAATCAGACAGTCACATGGGGTATGAGAAAAAGAACAGAAAGCATCACCAATGCTCCATTTGCTTCAAGATTTTTAGTTCAGGCCAAGCTTTGGGCGGCCATAAGAGGTCCCATTTGATAAGTGGGTCAGAATCCAGGAACAAATTGCCACAAACCACACCGATTGAGAAACCAAAGGCAGAAAAAAGAGACTTTCTGGATCTGAATCTCCCTGCGCCCATCGATGAAGAGGGCAGCAGCCATTTGGGGTCTCTCGAGCCATGGTGGGTCGGTGGAAGCCATTCGCACGAGCAGGCATTAGTGGGTTTGATTTGAGTGCTTCATTGCTTGCGGCTGCAGGCATTGTACAGTAAACTCTTCACCTTTCCTTACGATTCATTGATTCTTTACAGATTTCGGAATCGAAGCTATAACTCTTCTGAATGAATCCGATGGATTTTGTAACAATTTGTGAGATTGCATAACTCCAGCAATGGAAATGGGTTTTTGATCATTTTGGATTAGATTCAGAAATCGTTTGTGCTCGTCCATTCAATATGCTAAACTCAAATTCACAGTAATTTAATTCGAATATGTTTAATGAAAACTACTAATTGTAATTAAACATAATTTAAACAATAATGTCGCCTTTTCAAATCTTCATGGATCCAAGATGTGTAACCAACTTTTTTGGTGCATTTAAGTACTTCCAATAGGCTTAAACTTTGGCACATTATGGATGTTGGATGGTCTTTTTGATTTAATTAAGCTTTCTTTACATGTAATTAAGCACTAAACATTATGAGTAGGGAGATTATTTCATTAACTTGTTCAACATTTTTATATGATTTTGTTGAAATGTGAATGGACACCTTAATTAACTCGCTTCACTTAATGGGTAATTATGAATAATTTAAATTTAAATAAATGAAGCGAGTTAGATGAATTTATTATTATTATTATTATTATTATTATTAAATAATTATTTTTTTTATAACATAACAAAACATCTATTTCATAATTTCTCTAAGGTAAGGATATAATAATAAACATATTTATTTATATTTTGATTTATACACTTAAAAATTCGTTGGAGTTTTTTTTTTTTTTTTTTTTTTTTTTTTGGAATATATAAATGTTAGGAATATTAAGGAAATTAAAGTAATTAATTCGTTTGATTTATTACATTTTAAAATTAATTTAATAAATGGCTTTTCAAAATATAATCGGATCCTTTGAACTCTCAGAAAGGCCCAAATCAATTCAATTCAATTTCACCGTCATGACTCATGCCCGCTTAAAGTCACCGCCATTTCTTGGTCTGGCAATGGACCCGACCATTATTGGAAATCAAATCAATGTTGATGCATGTTTTTGATTGTTATTGAATTGGTTCCGAGAATTCAAATTCGATCCGAAATTACGAAGTTATCGATATTCTCAGGTACGCATCTTTCGGAGGATAAAGTTAGCTTTCGCTAAGGTACTTTCCCGTGTAATCTTTTTCAGCTTCCGGTAGTTAGAAGTAATGTAGTGTTCATTGTTCAATATAGTTTGCGTATGGATTACTTGCTTGAATGGATTTTTGGTTTGTTGAAATGAATTAGTTGAACCGTGTTATCTCCTTTATCTCTAATTGTTTGCAGCTGTGGACCTTTTCTTGAAAATTGAAATTGACGTTTTTTATTTTCATTTAGAACTGAAAACTGTAGTTTTCTTTTCCCTTCAATTCTCTTTCTTCCCCACGGGAATTAGTTCATGGTCATGCTTTAGCAATTGCTACAAATAATTTTGTGTTTTACGTTTACCTCATAGACTTTAATGTCTTCTGATAGTTTTGCATGTCCAGGTACTTGCCCCTGTGCATTCCTCTAAGTCGAAGGATTTTGTTTCACCAATGTTGAGTCGCAGGAGCAGTAGCTGTAGTTCATCTGATTTAGAGGAACTTATAGAGATTGAGACAAGATGTCGGCAGGTATATTTTCTGTATACTTGCTGAAAGTTTCTCTCTTGAAACGAGTTTGGAAATTAAAATGACTAGAAGTGATTGCTTCACATTATAGGGATTATTCCAATTTAGATTTTTTAAATGTCTCTAATATTGGCTCAAGTTTGGCCATAAAGCCCCCTTTTCTAAAAAAAAGACAAAAGATTAATGTTTCTAAGTATTATACGTGTCCTGCATATTTGGACAAATTTGATGGATTTGGGCCTTTTCTATCTCTTTTAAGCTTTTTCTTTAATTGGTATCACTTTTAACTATGCAGCTAAAGAAAGAAAAGGACACACTAATAGATTCACGGCCTCAAAGCTTTGAATTGATAAGGGTAAGTTTGATGCTGAATGTTTTCCCTCGGTTACGATGCAGAATGTGATGGAAGCCTTAAATATGCTTGATGTTTTTTCAACTCTCAGCAGCTCTTTGGATGACTTTAGTGAATCAAGATTGTTTTATATCGTCACTTTATGTTGCTTTTTCATGCCTATTCAGTTTATCTGAAATGAGCACTTGAAATTCAATGTAGACATTTCAATTATCATCCAGATGAACTTAATGATTTTTTACTGTCTGATGCAGCGACTAGAACTACATGTGAAATCCTTATCAGAAGCACGCGAGGAAGACAGGCTATGCATTGAAAACTTGGAGGAGCGGTTAACAAACTGCACTCAGGAAATAGGTAAAGGATGTTGTCTGTAATGTAGCGTGTAGGAGACTACTTCTAAATTGAACTCTTGTAAATGAGCATTTGAGGAACCTTTTAAAATCATTTATAGGCTAAATTGAGAAGTCTATCTTATCAATGAACTTACTGAAATGGACATTTAATAACAATGGTCGGATACATAAAGACAATAATATAATTTATTAAAGAGCTTATGTTTAAATAGATATTAAAAAGACAAGTAGATTCATTCAACGGAAAGTATCCAAATGATCATATTTCCTTAATTTTGGAACTATGGTTGCTGGGCACCACGAAAATCTCGATCCTTTTTAGCACTAGCTGAACCTTCTGTGTTCGGTATAGGGGTTTAAAGATATGCGTAGTTATGTGTGTATACATATTTAGGTTTTTTAAACGGGTGTTTGCTGTTGAATATTATTGCATTTCAGAATCATTAATGATTCTAGGAAAATGATGATTGTTGAATTTCTGGCATGGTTTGATGTCTGTGGCAGTGTGCTGTCCTCCATTCTTGACATATATTCTTATGAGTCTTTTTTTAACATAGTCCAAAAACAACATTCACCACAGATTACCTCCAGGATCAATTATGTTTAAGGAACACAGAATTAAACTACCTGGTTGATCACATTGAAAACCTCGAATTTAAATTAGTTCACATGGTGCGTTTGCAAGTAAGGGCTGGCAAGTTAGAGGAAGAGGTGAAGCGTTCAAACTTAGAGTCCTTCTTCTTGATGCAGAAATTGGATGACAAGGAAAAGAAGCTACGAGAATCAAATTCCAATGTAGAAAAACTTGAGGAGTCCATCTCATCTATGACATTGGAGTCTCAATGTGAAATTGAGATTATGAAATTGGATATGGTGGCCATGGAGCAGCGTTTCTTAGAAACTAAGAAAGTTCAGGAAGAGGCTCTTCATCTGAATGATAAAATGGATAGATTGATTTGGCAGCTTCAGAATGCACAGAAAAATATCGAGTCTCTGGAGAAAGAAAAAAAGGAACTTCAAAGAGAGCTGGATATGACAACAAGAAATGCCTCCACATTTTGTCGAAGTGTTGAGGAATTGATTGAAAACAAGGAAAGATCACAAAATACTGTGTGTTCCTCAAATGTCCAGGATAGCAAGTTGACATCACTACTTGAGACTAGGTATTGATATAAATTCAAAAATCCATGGTCTCTGCCTTTTGATTCTCATTACTTTGGGAAGTATGTTCGAACTTCATTGTACACCATATTTGTTGGCTCATAAGGTTTTTTTCATCACAAACCTCAATGGTTATAATGAAGTTTCCTTTTAAATGATAGGCCTTGGCGGAGTTTAATAGTAATAAAGGGTCCAGATTGTATATTGGCTGCTAGTTATTTTGAGTTGTTATGATCCTGATGAAGTTACCTTCTGTTGGTGTCATCATATTTTTCTTCGCTTCGTACCTGTTTTCCTTCTAAATTCTAAACAATGACCTTCCTCGCCAGTTAGAACAAAATCTGGTCCTAGAGAATCCATTAATATACGTTTGAAATGCTAATTCAAAAGTGGATGCAAATTCTTTGCCATCATTTACACATTATTATCTTATGTGACAGTTGTGGCGAACTCTTGGGCCATCTTATTCCAAAATTAGCAGTTGCACTATTTGCAGATGCAAATTCAGAAGTCAAAATGAATGTGATGGCAAAGCAGATACAAGATTATGAACTTCTTGTGAAGAAACTGAAGGTATGATGCATTCAATCGTCTTTGATAACTACAGACAGATGCAAGATTCTCATTGAGACTCCATTTGCTTTTTCCTAATTTTGAACTGCCTAAAAGAATCCATTTGGTTGAGTCGATTGGTTCTTTTTGTAGACAATATGATTCTGTTTATTTGAAGCCTCCAGGTTGTAACATTCTAGTGGTTGACAGGAGGAGTTAAGAGAGGAGAAGTTGAAAGCAAAAGAAGAAGCAGAGGACCTTGCTCAAGAAATGGCTGAGCTAAGGTACCAAATTACTGGTTTGCTTGAAGAAGAGTGCAAGCGCCGGGCTTGCATTGAACAGGCGTCTTTACAGAGAATTTCTCAGTTAGAGGCACAGGTATTCTGCCTGGGTTTTTAAAGTCTTATATCCCATCTGAAGCACCGTATCTTTTTTTCTTTTTGTTTTTTTTTAACTAACAGCTGCTTCTTTTTAGGTTCTAAAAGAACGGAACAGATCATTTGCTGTCGCAAGGTGCATGTGCGAGATATAGTAGTTGGTGATAAATTAAAAGCTGCTCGAGGAAGAATGTGAATCAGAGGTTTGCATCGCTTTACTATTTCTTCGATATTTAGTATTAGCATGACAATTGAATTGCCTTTCGGTACCAGCTTCGTGCTCATAAAAAAATGAGCAATTTCATTACAGAAAACGGGGGAAAAAAAAAAGTTATCATGTCAGTAGTTATGTGAAGAGAATTAAATCACTGGACTTATCCTTGACTGTGAGAGATGCCCTCTGCAAATATTTATATCGTATTAATGCTGGCTAAGAATAGAACAGTTCTGATTAGTGGAATCCTAGTGTCATCATTCTTTTAACGTACCTCTTTCCCATTCGTTGGCTCCAACTCATCCTCTTCAATGAAGTAGCTTACTCTCTTTTGAGTACCTTTGGTACGGGACTGGTGAATTTTACTTGCAAACAATGACTGCTATATTTTCCTCTTGGCTTTCCCAGATGTTGTCGCAAATGACTCCTATATTTTCCTCGTGCATTGTTGCTACAACCAAGAATATGAAGTACATTAGCTTTGCGCAGTTCTTTCTGGCAGCTCTGATCCTAAATTTCTGATCAGAGTGCCTCCTTCTCACGAGTTATGTGATGAAAACTTGTTTGAATTAACATAATGTCCTCACTGTTGTAGATGTATATGTATATGTATTTGTATTTGTATTTGAAGCAAGACAAGAATGCTGTATTTGTGCATTTTGCAATATGGGAGGTTTTGTAGGCGCCCATTCCTTGTTTTAATTCCCTCATTACTTCTACTCATCTTGTTTTGCCATAAATTAGCTCAGTGGCAACAATTACTAATGTGGGAAAGCTGGTGGTGCGTCTGGTGACCGGTGATGCTAGGCTGATGGGAGCTATGTAATGCTCTAATTCAAATGGGACTTCAATATAAAGTAATACCCCCCTCTCTCCATCTCACCCATTTGGATAAGATTTATGGATGGCTACGGACAAGTTGATAAAAGCAGACTTTTCTTTTTCCTTCCTAATTTACTAGTATACTGATGTCTAATAATAACATGAAAGCAAGGTCTTAAAATGTAAATTTTAGTATTTTACCAGTAATAATATTAGTAATTTCAAATGTTACGAGGATAGGGTATGATGTTACGATCTTTTAACTCTCCACTTCTTTTGAGTTATTTTTATATTAACATTTTACCCGATCTTATTGAGTAGAAAAAAAGAGTTTGTGATCTCACTTGTACACTAAAGTTAGACAAGTTTTATTTTAGCTGTTAGAGTTGGAAGATTTTTTGTTTCTTTTCCGGAGATAAATTTGAAGGTAAAGATTAGCGAAAATAAAAGTTATAAACGAAATAACAGAAAATTGAAGGCCATAAGTTAAAAAGGAGAAAGAGGGCAAAGATATAGTTCATTAGATAGTGAAAGTTGACTTTCTAACGCGATCAAAGTTGAATTTCACTATGAGATTATTCATCGCTCCCTAATTTTTGACCAAATCCATCAACACTGTTTGATCATTTTTTTTACCCAAAAGATGAATAAGCGGTTAATGACGTAAGGTTTGTTTACAGCGCGTCTCAATCGTTGAACTTCCTCGTGGGTGCTAGTTTCCTCTTTCAACAATTTTCTCAAACGCGGTTTCTTGATTGATTTTCTCGTTGCCCAAGTCGTCTATTTTGAACCAACCCACCTCTCTCCATCGCGCCCTTAAATTCTACGATTCGGTTTTGATTTTGCAGTTTCTTAGATTTTTGGGTTTGTGGAATTGTTCTGTTCTCTTCGTTCTCTGAACTCTCAAGGTACTCGAATTCTTTTCTTTCTTGGATTTTTGTATCTGGGAATTCATCATCAACTCCCTTCTTCGCCTTTACATGATTTTGTTTGTTAGCTTCTTGTCCAGTTTAGTTTTTGATCGTGCTATCATCTCTTCTGTTAGTACATCCATTTTGGATCAATTTCTCCTGGAACCACTGCTATTCCATAATCCAAACTGATTGAAGTTGTTTAAATAAGAATCTAAATCTTAGAGCATCCCACTGTTCTTCAATGAAATTGACTGTTTTGATCGATTTTCCCTTATTGTATTTTGTTTCTTCTGCTGACATGATCTTGATATCTTCCATTTCCAGGAAAAAACTGTCACCAATTTTTTGCATTCTAAACCCTTGGGAAAATGTTTGGTTCAAGGAAGGGTCATTTGAGGATAGGGAAACATGGTTCTACCCCGAACCCTTTTGAGTCTGACGATGGTGTTAAAGCTAAGCAAAACCAGGTTTCTGCACAAAGGACTTCGTCAGACCCTTCATTAGTGGCGGAAAATTTTGGCTCCAATCCTTTTGATGATGATCATGGACATGCTCCCTCTTCTTCAAGTTCACTAACTTGGTCAGAAAGGAACAAGTACAAGAATGATTTCCGTGACTCGGGAGGAATAGAAAACCAATCAGTGCAGGAGCTGGAGAATTATGCTGTTTATAAGTCTGAAGAGACAACAAAAGCAGTGAATGGCTGTCTAAAGATTGCTGAAGAGATAAGGGATGATGCAACCCAAACTTTGGTTGCCTTGCATCAGCAGGGTGAGCAAATTACCAGGACTCATGTGGTTGCTGCTGACATTGATTATGACCTCAGTCGGGTATGTTTGAAATCCCATTTATTCACTTTCATGTCTCGGGAGGACTCGACGAAACGCCAAGGATTTGATCTTGGTGTTTCTGTAGTCTAGAAATTACTAGCATTAACTTTGCCTGTATATGTTAAGCTCTGTCGTCTATTTGTTTGATGAGTTAATCTCCAGTCACTTATTCTAAGTGAGTCTTTTCATGAATGCAACATCAGGGAGAGAAACTGCTGGGAAATCTAGGGGGAATGTTCTCTAAGACATGGAAGCCAAAGAAAACTCGACCAATATCAGGACCTGTTATAAGCTCAGGTTAGCCACTTTCTGCTCATGAGATTCAGGGTTAGATGGTAATTTGTTGAAGCTCTGTGCAACTGATCTGTTTACTCCCATTTTGTAGAGGATTTAGTAAGAAGAAAGGGTAACCACATGGAGCAGAAGGAAAAGTTGGGATTGACACATCATAAGGGCCGGACCAATACAAAAGCTGCATATGCCGAACCTACCAGTGCAATTCAAAAAGTTGAGGTTTGTATTTGCTATCTGTAAATGGTTACTTCAAAACGGTACATTGGAGCATATCAACCTAAACATAGTTCAACTAGTTAAAATATATATCTTCGACCAAGAGGTCAAAAGGTTCGAAATGTACCACCCTCTCAGCTTACGGGTGGCAGGAATTATTGCATTTGGCATAGATTTGTGGTTTTAGTCATTCTTGAAGATACTGTTGCACAAATCTGTACCATGATACCCAAAGCATAATGATCATTTCCAAAATGCAGTATCATTCGTCTTACATATGCTTTGTGTTTGAAAAATACATACACAGGTAGAAAAGGTGAAGCAAGATGATGCACTATCTGACATGAGCGATATCTTGGTAGAGCTGAAGGAAATGGCTGTAGACATGGGTTGTGAAATTGATAGGTTAGTTCGTTTCTATATTCCATAATAACTCGTGTGCACCTTGCAAGTCAAGGACATAAAGACAAGTGTGTACATTAGATATTGATATGATTTGTTGCTTATTACAGGCAGAACCATGCTCTGGATCACGCTTCTGTTGATGTTGAGGTGATTGGTGACCGAGTTAAAGACGCCAACCGACGGGGTCATCGTCTGCTCAGGAAATAGAGTTCAAGGCCCTCACATTTGTGATTAGCTTGCTGATACTTATGTACATCTTCCATTTTCCTAGCTTTGTAGTCTTTTTACTTTCAGAAATAGGTATTATACCCCATGTCCTAGCTGACGTTTTGTGTTTGAGATCACTAGTTACTTGACTAGGACTAGAAGGTAACTGCACTGATTTTATCATTCTTAGTTCATCTTGAGCAGTGTATACAAACAACCACATTCGAACAATTTCATTTCAATAAATTAGAAACGTGCATTTTCGAACACGGGATTGTTTACCGATCTGAGTTCTGATGGGTTCAAATTCCTAGAACCCCAGACAAACCTACCAGAAAAAAATAGAACGCAGAGGGCCTGGGCGCTTCGGAACCTCGAGCTGAGCTCTGCCATTGGTGTAGGCGGAGTATATCGTTGAAGGGTCAGAGAGGCTCTGACTTTCTCGGAAGGTATCAATGGTGCAGGGTATGGTGTACTCTCTGATGTTGTAATCGGGAAATTGATGCGCTATTCGCAGGAGAGAACGAAAGAGTGAGAGCGAGAGACGAAAAGTATACTTGAGATCTCCATTTTCCCACCATATCTTCTCTTACATTCAACTACCCCATAACTAATCTGAAGATCATCCCTGCCCCAAATAATTTTTTATCATAAACTTATGATCATCCACGTTCTTGAACTTGTTCTTTTTAACTCTAAAAATCATAGCTTTTGCAGATTTATTAATGATTAATATGGAGAAATCCTAGACGAAAAGAAGGGTTCCATTTTTTAAAATTTGGGAAGTGGGTTAAGCTAAACAAAGAGAAAAAGAAGAAAAAGGTTTTGAGTGTACATAGAAATAGAATCAATGGAAGGCGATGAAGAAGAAAATGCCTTGCTTCGGAATGGAGTTGAGTGCACAGAAGGCATTTCCTCGCTTCGCAACTTTCCTGCGTAAAGACACAATACATATTAACTTCAGAAACAGTTTCAGAAATTTGAGAGGTATCGATATAAGCTTTAGATTTCAGCACATGGAAACTTTGACTCATCAAAGAAGGTATACTTTTCTTGTCTCTTGATCTCCATTCCCAGTTTGAATATTTGATGTATGTTCATCACTCTTTCATCTGGTTCATCATTTACAACCCAGAAAGTTTTACAAGAGATAAAATGATAAGAACCATTGAAACAGAAAAGTAATCAAATCAGATCTCTGTCACCATTGGCCAAACTCAGCTCAGCTTAGGTTCTACAACACCAAAGAGTTTCCTCTTCTTGTCCTCTTTTATTTGAATACTGAAAGTAATATGGCTATTGACTGCTTTGTAGGCTGAGTTTTTCGGATTCAGGACGACATAACAAAGATGCTTCCATCAAACCAAGAGATGGAATTCCACAGCAAAAAACAAGATCCTCCAAAGAGGGTACTGATAAAAAGGAGTCCAAGAAGTTACGGTGGTATTTTGCAAACGAAATGAATGAGGATTATGATTCAAGGGATTTAGAGTTTGCCACTGCAGCAGCATCAGCTGCATTTGCAATTCGCTCACAAGAAGAAACTGATTTACAATACCAGAAAAAGAAGAGAGGAAGTCTGGAAACGCCATTAACAAAGGTTAAAACCAGAAAAGATGGCATAACCAGGCGACCGTCTAACAAAGAAACAACAAATCCTGGTAAAATTTAAACATAGAGCTTAGAAATTTCCTATAAGAATTTCTTGTCACAAAAAGTATCATGTTCATTACACTAGGCCAATCTTCAATAAAGAAGCCAACGGGACATGAAAAGGACTCGATAACTGGAATGCCTTTATCGCCACCAAGACGAAGCCTTGTAGAAACAAGAGCTGATGTGTGGGAGAGACATAACATGGAGAAGATTAGAAAAAGGTATATACTAATTTCTGCATTAATCAATATTCAGGAGTGGACCTCACAGTTCCAAGTTCTCAAGTTCATGAAACACTTGCACTAAAAGATTTCTCACCTTAATCCTGAAACTTGCTTATGGAGTTCTTTTCTAAGACAATCTCATATTTCAGGTACGAAAAGATAAAATTGTCAATTCATGCCTGGGAGAATAAGAAGAAAATGCATGCCAAACTTCATAAGGAAAAGAAAATGGTCTTACCCCACCTTTTGGATGTTTTCCTTACTATAATACATTTTAATGTCAACTGAAAAAAACTTCTGTTCATGAAGGCTGAATTGGAGAACAAGAAGGCACTGTTTCTGCAAAATTACCAGGACAACATAGTACGAATCGACCAGATCACGGGGGGAGCAAGGACACAACTAGAACAAAAAAGAAGAAGGGAAGAGAAGAAAGCAAGAGAAACAGCTAACCGAATCAGGTCGACCGGAAGACTTCCTGTGACTTGTTTCTGCATCCAGTATCACTAACAATGAGACAGTCCTGGTGAAAAGAGAAGCATCAAATCATGCAGCTCCTATTCACTTACACTTCACCTAACAAATTCCAATCCAAAATCAATATCAAGTCATTGTGATGTTGTGTAAATTGTTTTTTATGTTTCTTTCATTGTGGCCTCAAACTCACTCTCAAAGAATGATAGATTTGATTGCATAAACAGAGATAAGTACAGCTTTAATCTTCTAGAATTTTTGCATTGATGTGAGTTTGGTATGGCACAAAATCATGGAGCAAATTAATCAATCATTTCACTTTTTAAACAATAATAATAATGAATCCACCACACAATAAATATAATTTTCCAAAAAAAATAAAAAAAAAAACTTCACTGAAATAACTCAACCCTTCTTCACATTGGCCATATCATTTCGATCAAAGTCTTTTACTTTACTCTGATGTCACATTTGATATATAAATAAATAAATATATATATATATATATATATATATATATATGAATATATTACCCTTTCCAGATTGTTATATACATGAAATATTATATCTTTATCATACAGCTTATATATTATGCAACACCTGCTGCAGGGGGTCTTGTATCCTGTAATGATATCACAGTTTCAAAGGCACCAACCAATGCCTTGACCTTACTGTTCCTGGTCTGTGCAAGCTTGCTTGCAGTCTCTTCAATGACATTATTAAGCAGATTTAGGGTTTCTTTCTTTCCTCTCGAATCCTGATGTCTAAGAACAACTCTCTCAGATTTGAGTCTACTAGAAATGAATTTTCCCTCGATAGTTTCCTTCCTCCTAAAGAATTTCTTTCTCTTAAATTCCTTCTCATCTTCCTTCACTTCAATACCATTTTGGTTGGCCTCTTTACCCTTCATGTTTCTCTTTCTTAAATCAACTTTAGGACTTTGAATCTCACCAAGTAAACGTACACGCCGAAATTTAAGCCTCCTTGGCGTACTGGTTTCAGTTTGAAGTTCAAGCATCCTCCCCTTCCTAAACTTCAGCTTTCTAGATTGACTATCTCCAGAATCACTTAGAGCCATCCTTCGGGTCTTAAGCTTGAGTTCCACCTTTGAATTCTCACTTTTTTTCACATCATTTCCTGAAGTAGAGCCACGATGCTCAACATGGACGCGTTCAGATGGGTACCTAGATGAAAATGGTGATGAAGGAGCTGATCGGGTCTCCGTCATATGAGCCATACCAAATCTCTTATGTCTTATACCTTTGAATTCCTTGGATACCGATGGAGACGTTGATAAACTTTTACTTATACCTTTGAATTCCTTGGATACCGATGACGTTGATAAACTTCTAATTATACCTTTGAATTCCTTGGATACCGATGGAGACGTTGATAAACTTCTACTTATACCTTTGAATTCCTTGGATACCGATGGAGACGTTGATAAACTTTTAGGAGTAGTTCTATTTCTAGCACGCCTCACTTTCTTTTTCACTGACAATGGTGGCACTATGGGGGCTCCATCAGACTCTTGTTGATGCTTCAAGCTGTTGTCTGTTGCAAATGAAGATTGTGGTCGAGACACAGCAGTTTGAACACTATTTTTAGCCAATTCCCCTGTTTCATTCTTGGTCGATAAAATTTTAGGACTAGTTCTATTTCTAACACGCCTCACGTTCTTTTTCACTGACCATGGTGACACTATGGGGGCTCCATCAGACTCTATTTGATGCTTCAACCTGTTGTCTGTAGCAAATGAAGATTGTGGTCGAGACTTAGCGGTTTGAACACTATTTTGAACCAATTTCTCTGTTTCATTCTTGGTTGATAAAGTTTTAGGACTTGTTCTACTTCTAGCACGCCTCACATTCTTTTTCACTGAAAATGGTGACACTATGGGGGCCCCATCAGACTCTTGTTCATGCTTCAAGCTGTTGTCTGTTGCAGATGAATATTGTAGTCGAGACTCGGCGGTTTGAACACTATTTTGAGTCAATTCCTCTGTTTCATTCTTGGTAGATAAAATTTTAGGACTAGTTCTATTTCTAGCACGCCTAACGTTCTTTTTCACTGACAATGGTGGCACTATGGGGGATCCATCAGACTCTTGTTCATGCTTCAAGCTGCTGTCTGTTGCAGATGAAGACTGTGGTCGAGACTCGGCGGTTTGAATACATTTTTGAGTCAATGCCTCTGTTTCATTCTTGGTAGATAAAAGTTTAGGATTAGTTCTATTTCTAGCATGCCTCATGTTCTTTTTCACTGACAATGGTGGCAATACGGAGGATCTATCAGACTCTTGTTCATGCTTCAAGCTGTTGTCTGTTGCAGATGAAGATTGTGATCGAGACTCAGCGGTTTGAACACTATTCTGAGCCAATTCCTGTGTTTCATTCTTGGTGGATGGTTCAATCATGTATAAAGTTTTCTCCTCTACATCCTCATTGTTAAATGGATCAGGTTTATATTTTCTGGGATGCTTTGGTCTCTTCAGACCACACCTCCCAATGATTTTCTTATCTGCAATTGTAACACACTTGACACGATTTCTTGGAACACGAAAAAGTACTCGTGGCACCAAGTCCTTCATATCCTCCTCTGCGGATATATTTCTCTCTTGGCATCTACTTGTGCTATTTGTACAACTGCTTGAACTTCCATCTCCATCTTGTTTCTTATCCTTTCGAAGTTCTTTGTTTCTTTTGGTTCGTGAACTAACTCGTCTTGCAAAAGAAGATGCCATCGATCGGGACAAATTAAGTTTTGTCCGACCGTAATGCACCGATGCAGCCTGCACTTCCTTGATAGAAGGTAAAGGCCTTTTTGGAGAGGGAGTAACAATCTCGGGGAAAGAAATTATATCTTCCTTCACGTCAGTAATATTGATAGCATTGTAATCAGGGGAGGACTTTGGAGTGATTGTATTCTGTTTCGCCAACAAAACCATAATCCTCCTCAAATCCCGGCCACCACCTCCCATTGATTTAGCTTTTCTCAAGATTGAACTTGCAGGCTTCCCTTCAAGATCCTGTTTAGCACCATATTTGCAAAAATCATGGCATGAGCCTGTGTGCGGTAGGAGATAGCGAGAGAGAATTTTTGGTTTCATCTTTGGGGTATTAATGTGCACAATAACTTCTACATTGCAACTTTCAGGCTCATTAACCTCCGTAGTGGCTGGGATATCAATGATATCAATGCCTTTCTCCGTGATATCTTCAGGCTCACTGGTCTCTGCAACTGCAATGACAGGGATATCAATGCTTTCCTCGGTGATATCTTCAGGCTTACTGATCTCTGCAACTTCAATGACAGGGATATCCAAGCTCTCGTCTTGTGTAGCTTCATCCCCGCTTACCTCCTCCATAGCAAGAGGTATATCATTGTTCTGCTTCGCCATTAAACGAAAAAATTATTGAGCAGAACCCTGCAGCAGATGAGATTTACTCAGACGAAGGGCATATGATAGACAAACAAACAATCACAACCATGATCATAACGTAACATAATTCTTATATGATTTCACTTTTAAATTGGCATATTCATGAGAATATAAAACTTGCTTCTTAACCCACAAAAGGGAGCTCTTAGCTCAACGATTTCTCCATCTACCAAGAAAGCTAGAATATCCAATGAAATCAATGGCATTTTGCCAATACCGACACATTCAGGGAAGAAGAAAAGAACACAATAACCTGAAAAACCCTCATCATAAAACCGAACAGAACAGAACAGAACAGAGAAGTGCCCACTTGTAATTCGATATTATGTCCTTTCGTACGATCATAACACAGAAAACCCAATAAACTTGCCTAGAAAACTTCCATTTATTCGATCACAATCCTGCATTATACCCAACAACTAATCGAAGTCATTCGAGAAAATGAGGCGAACGCAATTCACATAATGCAAAAACGAAAGCAAAAGAATCAGAAAAGGAGAGGTTACTTAATTGCGCGCGAACGAGAAGAAAAAAGCAAAGAAATCGAGAAGACCACAAAAAGGGTCGTACATACCTTTTTGGTGCAGATAGGTGAGGGAAAAGATTTGGGGTTGTGATGGAGGGAGCTGAATCATATAGGAGGCCGCGTTTTTTGCAGCAAAACAATCTCCCGCTTCCATTTTAGAGCATATGTTACAACCAATCGGGCATGGCGGGCATTGGTAAGCGAGAACCCATTCAAATCAAACCACCATCTTCTTTTCAACTTCATTTTTGGTTTTACACAACTCCCCCAATCATTTCCGCCAACAGTTCCTTCGCAGAATGGCTTAATTAGTTGGTTAATGCCCGGGATTATTACTTTTGATGGGAAAATGGGGATGAAATAAATCAGGATAATAATTTTTTTTGTGGCAATATTATCTTAATATTTCGTAAAATTTTAGAATTACATTTATGTTAGTAAAGATTCTCTAGAACGATGTGACAATTCAAATTTAATCAATCATAATCTTCATGATTATAAGTAAATAGTTTTAAATAGATTGCTAGAATAGCTGGGTTATGATAATCATGAAGATTAAACTCGGATTATCATTATACTAATAATATATCTTACATGAGCGTTGATATACCAATCAAATATTTTGATGTATATTTGTGAAATATGAAAAAGTATTATAGTTGCCCATTACAAATTTTCTATAAAATATTCTAGCTTTGATGTCACAAGGACCGTTTGCTATTATTTAATTGGGCAGTTAAATAATTAATGAATGAGTTAAAGTAGTTGGATAGATGTTGGCTTTATTAGGTATAAATATTCCAGCATATGCAATGATTGTTGTAAGTATTAGTTTGAAGTACTATGATTGTTGTGCAGCTCATAGGTTCCCTTTCTTTGAATCACAAGCAATATAGATAGCTCAACTAATGCTATGATGCTATCCATCCAAAGAGTTCAAGTCAACCGTTAGCTGAAGCTTCTCCTTAAAGTATTTTAAAACGGGTATAACATACAGAGGTTTCCACGTGTTTATAAGAAATGTTTCGCGCCCCTATCCAACCAACATGGTATCTCACAATCTACTCCTTTGAAGGTCATCCTTGCTGGCACACCGCCCCGTGTCTATAAGCATGTAAAAGCTTGGTTGAGTAAAATCCCACAAGCAGAGCACAGAAAACTTGGGTGTAAACTAAAACTCATAAACCAAACCAGCATGAGATGACTTCATTTACCGAAACTACCTGTCTGCATATACAATGGCGGTTTCCTTCTTTCCAGTATAACTTTGTATTAAATGGCACAAACAATGGACTCAAAATGGAGAGCTGAATAGAACTTAGCAAAATTTACAGATCAAATATGATAGTCCAACTATATTTGTCCTAAAATAGTCTTTCTGGTACAAGCTCGATATCTCCGTCCCCTCCGCCGCCGAGTAATATTTCCCCAAACTCTAACCTTTCTTTCTTTATTCTCTACTTCATTGCCACTGCTTACTTGATCCATGATCGACCCTATCACAGCCTCTGTAACTTTTGAAGATGAATCACACAACCGTCTCTTCCCTCTAGTCCATGTCGTTCCGACTCTACTTGGAGTTTTCGCTACACCGTTTATCGAGTGAGAACTTGTGATTTCCATCAGGCCTCCAATTGTCTGAATATCTTCTGTAACCTCGTACCTCGACAAAGTTGTAAGACTTGGAAGAATTTCTGTCTGAAAGTTTTTGCGCTGACCCCGCCTCGCACGACCCTTCCCCAGTTGACACGAAGGTGAAGAAACATTTTTTGTTGCCTCCTCTTGGTGGTTACTTGTTGTCAAGGAACACTCTTCCTCTACTGTTTCCTTCAACTTCAATGTCATGACCTCAAAGTCATCCATGCAATTTGACAAAAGCTCCTCTGAGTCACTGCCATCCTTACATTTCAAGGCTACTTCAGCCTTCTCTGGATCAGCTCCCATTGAAGAAACTATTTCGGCTAACCAGCATAAGGATTCCCATGAAACTTGAACGGACTGACAGCTGGTGATTTTTCGACAATTTTGAGCCACAGATGATGAAATAGAAACCAAAGCTTTTGCTGCAATCGCGTTGAGATCCTCCAACGGTTCGCCATCATCTTCAACTGACTTTAGAAAATGTGATCCAACTTGGTTATCACCAAACTCTCCTGTAGTTGAAGAGTGTTTTCCCTTTCCTGGACTTACAGGTACCTCCAGTTTCATTTCAGTGGAGCAACAAGGCGTGGCCAAAAATTCTTCATTAATGCAGACGTTGAGGTCAATTCGACCTTCGATCCAATTTGCAGAAGCCTTGCAGCATGATTCTTCTTTCACGATCTCGGACTTGGAGACATTACAGAAGCTTCCTTCAAGGGGGTTCACACTACTAGACCCAGTGCGAGATCTCAAGTTCTTAACACTACAGAGATCATCTTCAGCAAGCATTGCATTTCCTATGGAACCTTGTACAGATTTTTTCATAGATGCAGTGGATGATGACAGACTAGAATTTGTAATATCTTTGTCCGGTTGATATCTTTTGCTTCTGTCATAAAAGCTAATCGATTCAGAATAGCCATTGTTAGAGGCTCCATTTCTCCTTCCATGGACATCTGGCTCTGAGAAAACAAGAAATTTTGAATTGGCTTTGCCATTGAGATCATGGAAAAGAATCCCCCTATGGCCAGTAGCATCCTCTAAACCAACAGATCTACAGCCGGGTTCTTCCTCGATGTTAGGAGGATCATTTAAATCGACCGAGATCTTTGTTTTCTCGAATAATGAATCAGTGGTTGAAGAATCCCTATGTAATGAAGCATTCAAATCATGCTTGGAAAGAAAAGGTTTATCACTAATATGAACATTATCAGGCATTCTCTTGAGATGAAAGCATGACATTTCAGGCACTTTTGTCAATTCATCTCTTCCGTTCAATTGTTTTCTGTCAGTTGGAAGTTCAAGATCAAACATCCCATTTCCCAAAATCTTGCTCCTAGATTCCGAAAAATAAGGAGTCTTCGAAGGGGTGTCAGAACCTGTTTGAATGTTCTTCCCAAAACTTGAATGTAGTGAGCTCTTTTGTTCCCCAGAAATAAATAATTGACTGTATGAAGGGAAGTTATGTGCATCCTGAGCACACAATGCATTGACCCGAGACTTGTAAAAATCAGACCGAGTTGTCGTGATGCATACATCATGCTTATGTGATTCCCTCTTCATCTCAGCTATGAACTCACTCTGTCTTTTGTAAAGGCGATGAAGTTCGTAAATCTGGACAGTTTATTGATTTCAGATGAGTTTAAAAGCTCAAACTACAAATATAAGAATATCAGATTTCTAACAAAGCAAACCATGGCAAATATGTGGTAGGATTGGGTAATAGTACATAATTCCATAATGATTCTAAGCCAAAAGATAAATTGCAGACCGAGGATTTACCTGATCCCGAAACATCGCTTCTTGCATTAGCATTATCTGCTTTAACGCGTCTCGACCACATTCAAAATACAGACCAGCTGACAGTGGTGACAAGAAAGCTTTGGAGCTATGTCCACCGTTCAGCATATTATCCTCACTGGTTTGAGACCATATACAGCCACCAACAACTCCTTTTAGATCCCCACTGAAATAAAAATTTGAATAGTTGCCAGAACCCTGCATATTTACTCCAATACCAAGAAGTTCCATAAATAATACAAATGCTTCACTGGATATTCTGGGAGACTAGGACCTGAGTTAAAAAGGGCAGCAATGAATGGTTGATACTGGTAGACACAAGAACAGAATCACCTAGGTTTCTAACATAATATGTAACCGCCCTAGCTTACCGCTAGCAGATATTGTCCTCTTTGAGCTTCCCCCTCAAGGTTTTAAAACGCGTCTGCTAGAGAGAGGTTTCCACACCCTTATAAGAGTCCTCTTTGAGCTTCCCCCCTCAAGGTTTTAAAACGCGTCTGCTAGAGAGAGGTTTCCACACCCTTATAAGAAATGTTTCGTTCCTCTCTCCAACCAATATAGGATCTCACAATCCACCCCCTTGGGAGTCCAGCGTCCTCACTAGCACACTGCCCAGTGTTTAGCTCTGATACCATTTGTAACCGCCCTATCTCACCGCTAGCCAATATTGTCTTCTTTGGACTTTCCCTTCTCAGCTTCCCCTCAAGATTTTAAAATGCGTCGGCTAAAGAAAGATTTTCACACCCTTATAAGGAGTGTTTCGTTACTCTCTCCAACCAATATGGGATCTCACATAATACCAGTTGGTCCACGATTCAAGAAGTTTTGATGGAACTCCAGCTAAAACTTTTGTAACTTCAAATTCCAATATTATACTTTGGCATGTATAGTTAATGATAACATTGTTTAAGACGGAATAAGTTGAGGAGAATCATATATAAGTGAGATCAAAAGCACATCCAAATGGAGACAAAATCTCACATTGAAGTGACACCGTTCTCACCATTTAGTACCAGGAAACTCAGCTTGGCCGTACAAACTTCAAGAGCCTGAATACAAAAAGACAAAGGCCAGATGAAAACGCAGTAGAACAAGTTGAATATATGAAGTTACTAAGATATTGCATAAGAAAAGGGAAGAAAGGTAAACCAAGTCCAGCAGAAACAGAATAACAAACAAAATCTCGCATAAACAATGTGTTAATTCATTCATAGTTCTAAACTGGGTAGAAGATTTCCACAATTAAATTCATTCACTCAGAGCTCAATCGACAGAACCCACCAAAAAAATTCAATAAACTTCAGAAACGAACCAAATCTGAACAACAAAGTTGTATGAAATTGAATCACCTTGTTTAGAGAATGGAAGGGGAAGTAAAGGAAAAAACAGAGAGGAGGCATGGAGGAGAAATCAGGGGGAAGTGGAGGACATTGGGTGAGGAATTACATGGAAAAGGAAATCGGACGCGGAAAGCGGATAAAGTAGGAAATTCGGATCTGGCAAAGAAGGCTGATGGGCCATTTTTTCAAGGAAGATTTAGAGAGAGAGAGAGTAAAGGAAATGAAATGAGACGAACAAAGCTTCCATTACAAGGGACACCATGGCTGTCTGTTACCACTTATCTTGTCTCTATCTTTCCTCCTCTCTAATTTCTGCTCACTTTTTTGGATTTTTTATTACTCCAAAAAAGATTCTGTGATGCTTCACCTTACCCATAAACTAAACCCCTTCATTATCTTTTCTTTAACTGTCATTTCAGTATCATAATTTATCACATTAATTATATATATATATATATATATATCTTTAAATAGTTGCACTACAATTATTATATTTTCGTAATTATTGAAATTTAATTGGTTAAGATATGAATTAAGATATAAAATAAATAAAAAAAAATACATTATTAAGAATCAAATGAATTACCCTAAAAACGTGTGG